GCTCCTTCCACATTCCCTGCTTTCCTGTTAGCTGGGAAGGCTGCAGCAACTGCCTCACCTACCGCAGAACTGTGAAGGTGCTTCCTCACTAGACTGTGCTCATTTGCTGGCTAGTGGACAGAGCAGGTAATAGTTTTCAGAAACTGAAAGCCGTCCACAGGTCTGGGTGGCTTGGAGCTGACTAGTGTGTAAAAAAAAGCAATCTAAAAAGATACAGCCACTGCAGAGAAGTTACATTAAATCTTGGAATCCCTGTGGAAGAAACAGGAGGCATTCAGAAAACTCCACAAAGAAGGGGATTGTGAGAACATTTTATAACCACAGACTTATTTTGGAAAAGTGATCAAAAGAAACAGTACGAAGTCACTAGAAACTGTTTATCCAAAGGACTTAGCAGGAACTCAAGACTGAAATGGATAAACTATTACATACTGGCAGACAACCCCTTCAGCTAAAAATACTTCCGTATGTGATTACTGGGAAGCGGAAAGTCTGGCACTAATTTACCAAAGGATCCCAGGGAAACCCAAGGAATTGTATACCCACATATTATAAAACCGACAGCTACTAGATAAATGAATAGAAACTATAACAGAGAACAGAATTAGCAGACACCTGCATAAATACAGCATATTTGGGAAAGAGTCAACCAGGCATTTTTAAAAGCATGTCCTTCTAAAGCTACTACAGTTCTTTGACAGATTAGCAAACGTGAGCAAAGGTAACCTGTCTGATACATTCACATTTCCAAAAAGCTTTCAACAAAATCATTCACCTAAAGCTTTGAAGGAAGCTAAGCAGTCCTTGCATGGATGACAAATAGGTGACCAAAAGATAAAAACAAATGTAGGACAAATCAAATGATGATGTATGAACTAATCACAAGAACAGGATCTTGTCTTTATATGAATGCTGTGCTGTTGGAAGTCTACGTGGTTTCGAGGAGACAGAACAAATTCAGGGAAGTGAAATAGATTCCAGTTCAAAGGGTTCATAATCCACAAGTAACTGGAGACTGGAAGTGCATTAGGGAAAACTGTACATATTTGCCATTCTTCTTACATTTTTTTTTCTAAACATTTGTTTATGATGTAGCTGGAGACAGGATATAGAGCAAACTAAACCTTTGGTCCTACTCAGTACAATTATTTTCTACCTTTACCTCAATGAGAACATTAATAAAATCTCCTTTCCTTTCTCTCTTCTCACAGTAATTTTCACTGTTTCTTTATGACCTTAACTTTGAGGTCCTTATATACCTTTCGACCTTTCTGTCAGATCTGGTCAAGGGTTTAGAAGTTTAATCAACAGATTAACAATGGTTAAACAATAACAACCTTCATTGCTTCAGAAGAAATTAAAAACGGTATTTTAACCTAGAAATGCAGACCCATAGAAAGCAATGTTGCCCAGATGGAAGTCATTTGAATATGATTTTCAGCCAAGCTTCAGACCAGCTTTCACTTTAAGCACACCTGCAGTACAGTCTAGGAACAAATATAAGTGTTGGACACGATCTAACTAACAACTAATACATACAGATAACAAAGCATTAATTTAAACTCTTTCCCTTATAATAATAATAAGCTTTTCCTTGAAATAGTAACATGATATGTGTGGCTAAGACATTTCAAATCTGGAAAGAAGAATTCTAGCTGTAAAAATTTGCCAATGTGAAACCACACTTGTAAAAATGAAATTGAGGCAGAGAAATCTGATGAATGTCATGTTTACTAAACAGAAAGCAACCCCAAATTATACAACATACATACACAACCATGCTAAATACATGCACACAACAGAAAAAAAAAATAAGTTATTCCCATGGAAAATCTTCAGCATTCATTTTCTCTAAATCACCAGAGGCACTGTTCCTTCAGCAGTAACGCTATCAGGCAGGGCCCAGGCAATTTTACCTTTACATCATTTTGTCCTTCTGCAAAAACACAATAGGAGCCATGAAAAAAACACCGGAACCTGGCATTTTCCATTGCCACTGTTCCCAACTTTCTTAGAAGCAACGACAGGATGGCCTGAAATTGCACTAGACTATTCTGTTTTAGCTTTCTGTCTGTAACAGCCACTAACAAAACTCCTCCTGGCCATCAAGGTGTAGTTTCCAGGTACTATCACAGCAGAAGCAATAAAGGAGCTACATGTTACAGATGACCTCCTTTTCTAGACCCTTTAAACCGGGTGTAAAGGGACAGACACCACAGGTGCTGCACAATAATCACAGAATCATCTAGGTTGGAAAAGACCTTTAAGATCACCAACTCCAACCACCTACCTGAGCTACTGAATTCTATCAGTGAACCGTGTCCCCTAATGCCATGTCCACACGTCTCTTAAATAACTTCAAGGATGGGGACTCCAGAACTTCCTTGGGCAGCCTTGTACCACACTCTCCATATTCTACCAGTAAAGAATTGAAGAAGAGCCTGGTGAATCCTACCAAGGATGGAGCACTGGGGTGGAAATCCTCTGCAGCCCGTGGCTTTTACAAACAAGAGTCCCTTTTTTGGCCCTTAACACTGCCTGTCATGTCTGGCAGAAAAAACAGCCACTCTCAGACTGCAAGCTCACAGCAGATTCAGGCAATGGCCTCAACTGCTCTGACAGTCTTGGCCCTGTCCACATCTCTTCCCTTCTTTCACTTGCTGCTCTCCCTAGTTTAACAATCAACAAAACAAAAACAAGCAACTCCACTCCAAAAATAGGAAAAGAGATGAAAAACAGCAGGCATCCATCTACACCCTTTAATCACAAGCAGACACGAATCCCTGTAGACTTATCTTCTCCATCCTTGTGTAAACCTGCAGCTCAGACATTTATAGTTGTACTCCCATTATCACTATCAGTCTGTGTGTTTACAAAGTCATGCTTTCCTGCTTCTGGGACAAAAGGTGTCCAGAAGCAATAATTTGTATAAGTGCATAGGATGGATCTAAAGGTAAATGTCTCGTTCTGGAATACAACCTACACATGCTAGCCTGTGCCTTTTCTGCTGGTTTCAGTTCTTCCACCACCAAACACTTCCTGGGGTGTACACTATTCACTGCAAACCTGGAGGTGACCCACCTTTTCACCCGTGTGCTGCTATACTGGCAGTTCATTTGATATAAAAATTCATCTGTCTCAGCTGCAAGGCTGCTCTGGGCCCAATGTTTAACAGAATTAAAGTGACAGAGACTCACCTTTTCAAAGAAATGTTCCTATGCATTAAAGGAAGTGTTTCCCCTTCATTGTGGGGAAATGTAACATGCCACTTAATAATCTCATACCTCTGCTTCGAGGAATTATAAAAGGAAGGCATAGAGAAGAGACTTTTTCAATGTTATGTGGCATGAATTAAAGTTACTCTTCAATAAGTCTGCCATTGCAGGTGAAGCCCTTAAGGAGTACATAGTAGTGCAGAAACGTATGCAATTCTCTAACTTATTTTTCTCCCTTGTAGTATTCCCTGTCTCAGTTTTCAGTCTCACCCTTTCTTTCTCTTTCTTTCTTCCTTCCATCATCTATGTGCAAAATTGTGCTACTTATAGCAGCAGGGCTACCACTCCTCTCTGTAGCAGTGAAACAGGCATGCAGGTACTGCTTTTCCACAGCTATCCCACCTGTGGGAGTTCACACAGCCCCACTGTTTGCTTGGTGCATAACCCAATTTAGCACAAACTTGAGTTGTCATCACTACAATTAGTCCTTCCAATTCTCACAAGCTGACCATTTCTTACTACAGTCCAGCCCAGACACATTAACATCTGGTAAAGAATGGCCCATTCAAAACCTAAACCATTTCTCTCTTCCCTCCCAGAAAAAAATGGAGAATCACCATAGCAGAATGCCTAACTGCTGCTAGATCATCCTGTCTTTTTATATCTTGGACAGATGTCAGGGCTGGGACACCATGTCAGGGAAGCTGAAATTAAGTAGCGGCCAAGCAAAATATTTTCCCTTCATTCAGCATGCCTTCAACAGGAGCTACTGGTTGCATGCAGGGGACAGTCTAATGCTACAGAGAAATGTCAGCCTTTGTAGTTGCAGGGTGTTTCAGTCCTTCCCTTCCAAAAAAACATGAGGTTGCAAACAGACAGGTAAAAAGATGAACTGAATATAGTATATTCTGGTTCATTTAACGTACAGCATCATCTTCTATCAGATGCAAGATAGCAAGATCTTATTTAAGCATATTTCCATTTGTAAATTGCAAAGTCTATGACAGCTAATGAATTCTGCTTGATTCTTGGCCTCTTGTCCTTGATCTTCAAAAGACGGCCTACAAAGCATTTGCAAATGATGAATATGGGAATATAATTTCCTAACTGTACTGGTGAATAAAAGTTGTGGACTCATTAATTTCAGTGACATATTTATAATTCCTCACTACTCCCACTAAACATTTACTCAGGGTGATAATTACCTCTCCTTATTTTTTTTTCCTCCTTTCTGTTCCTTTACACATAATGTATCACTTCTTCTTTGCTAACACTTCCCATCTACTCAGCAGGTCACATTTTATCTCAGACTGTCCAACTCATTAATATAATTGAAGTTAAATATATATATATTGAAGTTAAATTCAGGGAAACTGTTCTCAAACTGCATTTACTTCAGAAAGATCCCACATCTCTCTCAGAAAGGAACAGGAACCCCAGCTCCTAATAGCTATGTTCCTTTTTTGCCTCTGTTGAATTGGTTTGATATAAATATCACCTCCCCAATTAAAGCTAAACCATTTGACTTTTCTCTTTTGTGTGGTCTTAGTGGTCTAAATCAGTCAAGCAAAGATTTATTCATCTTATTTCAAGTGATAACTGTAGTTTTGAAGCAGTGATTACTACTTTGCAGATAACAACCCTAGAGACAAATTTTCTCATTTAATTGCCACATTAGACTTTTCATAACATGTACTTTCTACAAAATACTCAAGTTACAGATGCTGACAGTCCTTAGCAAAAATATCTTTAATTTCTTGTAAGTATTCAGAAAAGTTTACTTACTGAAAATGCAGAAGGTGGCATCACTGCTAGCATGAGCAGAAGGAACAAGTTCTTCATCTCTGTTTGTGGGAATAGAAAAATTACTGATAAGAATTACTTACTTCTTTGCTGCTTGTAGGTTGGAAAGCTAAGATACCATAAAGGAAAAATTGAGGGGGAACTAAAATGAAGGCAAGAGAAGAAAAGCGATTTTATCACTACACTCCCTGGATAGATGAAGGCAACTGCAAAGACTGAAATTACCTTGCACAGAAAGCCAGAATGTAATTACTGAGCACAAATATTTCCCTGAACTTTCCTCTGATATTATGAGAACACCATCCCCGGGCACAGTGGAAGATGCATGCTGCTGCTTGTCTGCCCTCCCACCCTTTTACTTATACACATGACAAAACCTTGAAGATTGTAATGACTTCAACCGACCCAAGGTAAGAAATTCCACAGTTAACATTCTGTACCCTATATTCATCCTTCATGACTTGGTGAAGCGTTGTGCCTTTCTTTGTGTGATTGTGCTTGTTTAAAATCCTACCGTTTGTCCTGGGCAGATATCACTAGATTCAGCCACCAGTAGTTACAGCCCTTCTGCAGAGCTAGAAAGGAGTTTAGGCCACACAAACTGGAAAGGCAGCATACAACAGGATACAACAGTTCCTAAAAACTGGGCCATTATGCTTATTTGTGACCACAGTTCTATACTGGTGCATTGCCTCTTGCTACTTTATCTTTCCTCTTGTGAGTTGCAGCAACCGAACCCACATGAAGCACCATTCACCAAAGTTTATAGCTGTGACAAAGGACGCTTTGGTCACTAGAAACTGCCTGTTTCTCATGACCACTTTCTCATGACCTCATGACCTGTTTACTGAGCCCAGAAAGAAGAGAGAGACTAGATACTCCTAGCATAGTTTTTATCTAGTCCAAGTTTCTTTCAAAGTTAGGAAAAGAGGGAGAAACTTTCTTTTCACAGTGCATAAAATAAAAGCATCAACAATTAAATGTTTATCTTAATAGTCATTGTAACAACACCCCTATTTAATATTAAAACTTAATATACAGCTCCTTTGGCCTGGCCTATTAAATCCAAATGAACTGAAGAATGTATATCACTGATAACAATCTAATTACTGATACAAAATCATTGTTGTATGAGAATATCAGATCAGAAATAAAAAGTACTTGAAATGAAACACGCTTGATATAGCATTTGGATATTTCAGGTTACCTTATGTCAAGCAACCACTTCCCTCATAGCGCTAGGCCTCACTGAACCCACACAGCTCATTACGGTTCTGTAAGTCCGTATACAACATATTTTGACATTCCCAGTATCCCGAGTGCTAGGGATGAAAATCTTGCTCTTTACTATTTTTCCTTTTGGATATAAAACCCACTAAGTGCTAAAAACCCAGCTGCACCCAATTCTTTGTGCAAACTATCAAGGAGCAGGGGAGATAAGCTTCTGTCACTATATACTGAATGCCAGTCATGTGACTCATAAGAAAATGAAGCTTTAGGAGCTTTTTGTATGAAAAGACTTTCATTCACTTTGGATTAGCCTTCCGAAGAAATTGAGGAAAGACTACGTAGCCTCTATCACACACCCGTGCTACTAGCTCTCTTTCAAGTCAAGTCAAGGAAGAAACAATCTAGTGCTGCCCTACATAAGAGGTTAAGTACACTCTCTATGTAGTTGAGGCCAACAGCCGAAACATAGGCTAGATCTGCGTCACAGCCCTATTTGACTGTGAAATGATTTTCAGATGGGTAGGACAGCCACAAGAAATGAGGAAACAACCCTTTTGCTATGAGTTCCATGCACAGAAACAGCAAAGCTTTTCTTAAGCAGCTTATAACATCCTCACACCACTAGCAAAGCGGTAAGCTGTAAGAAAAGTATCTTTTTTGGGTGGTGTTGGTGTCAGACAGAGGTAGATCTTTGAGACTGATTGTCTCCTCTTCCCTACTGCCCAGAAAAACTCTCCCTTCCCTAGCATTCCTCTCTCACATCTCCCACTCCAGGCACTTCTCGGGTTCACAGACAGCTGTGGGAATCACATCCCTTGCTCCAACAGCCTATTGCTGCTGGTAACGTACTGCCCACTCAACTCCTGGCATCAAGAGGCAGATAAGGAGCTGGGCCCAAACCTCGTGATGCTCCTGAAGAAGAGGCTAGAGAAGCAAGCAGCTCACCAGAGCTGGCAGTGCTCCCAGTCTCCAAGTAATTAGCATCTTGGAGGTTTTCAGCCAGATGGGATGAAGACATTCTGTGAGGAACAGCATTAAACATTTGGGACAAACCCCTACAAAAAGCAACAGGTTATGGTTCTGGTGCTCACTTGCATTTTTGTGCCATTGCACTAGCCTGGAAATTGCTGTCATATGTCTAACATCTGGCCTAAATTTAGCATTAAAAAGTTTAGACCATCCAGCCCCCTTAAATTAGTCAACAGATTCCAGGAAAAAATGGTCAGGAGGAACAGGGCCTTCTGCAGCCTATTAAATCTTCCACTGCAAAACAAATCTTGTGTCTTTCTCTGAGCTTCAACAAACTTGTTATTTTAAAAGCTTCCCCAGATGCAGTATTCAGCATTAATCCTTTTTGCCTCCCTGTCAAACAGAAACAACACAGATTGGATTGGTGAATCTGAAACCTTCACAAAACAGGGGTCAAGGTCTGTTTCTGGATTTAATGGCTCTTGCTCTCCTTGTATGACCTGGGACACAGCAGCATATGTTATTCTGTTTGCCATTCTTCTCACTGAAGCCTGGGTGTGTGGGGGAAGGAAAGAAAAGGACAGTGTTTTGCAGTGCTTTCACTTGTGACAACACCAGCTGCTGCTCTCTGTGCCCTCTGTCCTTTAACACTTTTCAACACTCCCCAGCTCTGTTTCGTACTGTGCTAGAACAGCTCCTCCACTGCCTTCCACCCTGAAACAGCAGCAGGATCCGAGAGGAAATGGTGACTCAAGATGGAACAGCTGCTGGAAGGCTCACGTGTAGGAATTCCTACCACAGTGCTAAAATCTGAATTTATATCAAGAATTATGAAAATCCCTTCACAATACGTAAGGAGCAACCTGGATCTTCAATAAGAACCAGAGGTAGGCACAGCTGAAACCTCAGTTCAATATACTGGAAGAGATTAAAATTTTCTAGCCATCCACATCTGTCATCAACTGCTCAGGTTAGGTGAGTAAAAAGCTGGAACCCATCACCATTCATGCCATCTGTGCAGACATCTGAACTATGAAGCTCTTCTCTCTAATGGGGACAACCCAAATTGCTCTTAACATGGGAGAAGTTTAACCCTGAAACTGAATTTAGCAACTTAGAATCCTTACTTCTGTTCAAAACAATATGGATCAAATATTTTGTGGAAGTTTCAGAAACTTCTGCCTGACGATATCCATCAAGCATGTTCTGGTGCCCTTTTTCTACCTACTTCTGCTTGGTGCTGTGGACAGGAGGGCCACAGTGCTACAGAGGAGATAGCTGGAATTTCAGAAACTTGGACAGAACTCACCTCTCAACAGCCACCTTCCTAAGGAAATAAGACCTACATCACCTGTGTGTGTGTGTATATGTATATATATATATATATGTATGTATGTATGTATGTATATGTATATATGTAAAAATAACTTTGAAACAGATGGCTAATTTCAAAGTTTCAAACACATACGGTTAACTTTTGGTTGAGAAAAGAAGCATACAGGACTGAGATGAAGAGATATATTAGATTTTTAACTTATTTAGATAATGACCTTACTGAAAACTGGGATAAGGATCCTCATTTTGGGGCTTAACAATGAACCTACTCAGTAAATAAACTTTTGCCTTAACAAATAAAAAGTCTGGAAAAGCCAGATGGGCAGTCTTGGAGATTTCTCTATAGTGGAGCCAAGTGAACTGCTTTAAAAATATTTTAGTTACAAAGTCTTTATCCAGGGCCATGCAGGCTTAGCAAGATCAGTGAATTATTCATTAAGACCAGGAGTACACTTGAGACAAACTGAAGAGAATAAAGGACAATTTTAATGACTTCTCTGTTTTCTTCACGCATGCAAATCCTGCCTTGCAACACACAAACAACATTCAGGATTGCCTACTTCAACTTGGCCTCTTTTCCAAATCACCTCTCAACATCCATGCTCCGAGGGAAACAAGACCTACGTTGCCTGTGTGTGCGTGTGTGTAAGTGTAAAAATAACTTTGAAACAGCTGGCTAATTTCAAGGTTTCAAAATCATAAAGTTAACTTTTGTTGGAGGGAAAATAAATACAGGGCTGAGATGAAGAGATATATTAGATTTTTATCTCATTTAGATGATGACTTCTTTTCAACAGGAGGGAATCCAAACTTGAAAGTGGTGTTATGAATAACCCAGCCTTGTTTAAACGAATGCTTAAGCTGTTTAGATGCTACAGCATCAAATCACGCAGTCCAAAGAAAACTGGGTTCATTAGTTCCATTGCACACAGATGTATTGGTCTGTGTGCATGTGCTTCTCACTTTTTTGGGGGGCATAACTGAACAGCCAGTGCTATGTGGTTCTTCTCTGTTTAGCACATAAGATGGGACAATCTTTTGCCTGTGAACTGCATTTCTAAATAACGTTTTGGCCAAAGGCACACACCACATACATGGGATGGGGACTGTTCTGGAAGTGGTTCATAGGTGGGAGATAAAAAACCCCTTCAGGGTTGCCACTTTTCTACTGCCAGACAAGGTAGAGCCAGGCTGAGCAAGCAGTTAAGCGCATAAGCCACCCAGCAGTACTAGCTTGAGCAGCCACTTAGAGCTCTTTTCATCTTCCAGATGAGGATTTGAATTTCCCCATGCAGATCTACTGTTCTCATCCAAGGTAGCCCTGACAGAAGCTCTTTTCACAGCTTGAGGTACACATTAGCGATTGCAATAAATATTTGTTCACTGCAATATAGATTTAAATTACTTGTTGTAAATTTTAGCATATCTAGCATTAAAGCAGAAGTTGTCATTGTGACTCTGCTACTCCCACATTTTCCGAATTTCCTTCCCCCTTCCCCACTACTGC